GCTTTATATCTCAAAAAGGGGGAATATTTTTATAAGCAATATTGAAGAAAAGATGGTCAGAATAATGTTCTTAACAATATGCATACTTTAAATTTTTGTAAAACGGCCCCATTAAGGACTTGTAGGGGTGGCCCCTAAATATTTCCATTTAGCATATCTTCACAACGAATAGAAATCTCTGAATAAGCGCTGAACAAAAAATCTTCAAAATCACAAGACCTTTCATTTGATACCAAGAAAAAGGGGCTGAGTCCTTAAAAAAGTATCGCAAGGGACCAAAATGCTATATTTTTTATGCTTAACGTCTCGAAAAGGGGGAGTATTTTTATAAGCCATATTGAACAAAAGATGTTCAGAATATCTTGATAAAAATCAAAAACTTTAAATCTAATGAAGGAAAACTTAATGTCATTCTTTTTTAATGAATATCTCAGTCAAAATCACATCTCATCTTATCGAGAAATTCAACGGAAGACCTACTCGTTGCTCGCAACGAGATCTCATCTAGTTATTATTATTATTTTTCTTCCAACCGATTTTGTGCAAGCGATTTCTCAGAGATGGCTCGTCCGATTTATACCAAACTTTCAGATCGGAAAGATATTTGATTGATCTTGATAGGTTTTTTTGCTTTTTGATGATCTCACTTCCGGTCGTGAGATATGGTCGATTTTCTGATTTTCAGAGGGTCGGCTTGTCCAGGAAACTCCTCCGAAACGACTTAAGATATCGACTTAAGATTTTCAGTGAAAGTAAAGGAAGGTTTGATGAGTTGTAATTGGGTCTCCAAATCTTTCTAGCGCAAAAGGCGCCGGAGCTCGGTAGGGCCCGAAAAAATGTCTCAGAAATATCTCACAAAATTTGACACATTTTGTTTCATATCTTCATACCCGTTCATAATTTGTTAAAAGATATTGAAGAAAAAATGTGCAAAATCACAAGACCTTTCATTTGATGTCAAAAAAAATGGGACTGACCCCTAAAATTAGGGGCTCAGAGAGGCCAAAAGTCTTTTATCTATAACTCTCTAATGATCAATATTTTGTTATACATTACTGAAGCAAAAGTGTTTATCTTAACTATTTGCAACAACATATTATACAATTTTGATCATATGTTACGTAATTAGGGGTCATAAGGGGCCAGAATGTCAAATCTTTTCTCGAAAAGGGTGAATATTTTGATAAACAATATTGAACAAAAGATGGCTAGATTAATGTGTTAAACAATATGCATACTTTGAATTTTTGTAAAACGGCCCCATTAAGGACTTGTAGGAGTGGCCCCTAAATATTTATATAAAGCATATCTCCTAAACGAAAAGAAATTTCTGAATAGGTGTAGAACAAATAGTCTTTGAAATCACAAGACCTTTCGTTTGATATCAAGAAAAAGGGGCTGACTCCTAAAATTAGGGGCTCAGAGGGGCCAGAAGTCTTTCATTTTTAACTCTTTAATGATCAATATTTTGTGATGCATTACAGCAAAGATGTTCATATTAACGATTTGCAACAATATATTATAAAATTTGGATCATATGTTACATAATTAGGGGTCACAAGGGGTTAGAATGTCAAATCTTTGACGCTTCATATCTCGAAAAGGGTGAATATTTTGATAAGCAATATTGAACAAAAGATGGCCAGATTAATGTTCTAAGCAATATGCATACCTTCAATTTTTGTAAAAAGGCCCCATTAAGGACTTGTAGGAGTGGCCCCTAAATATTTATATAAAGCATATCTCCTAAACGAAAAGAAATCTCTGAATAGGTGTAGAACAAAGAGTCTTTGAAATAACAAGACCTTTCGTTTGATATCAAGAAAAAGGGGCTGACTCCTCAAATTAGGGGCTTAGAGGGGCCAGAAGTATTTAATCTTTAATTCTTTAATGATTAATAATTTGTCATGCATTACAGAAGCAAAGATGTTCATATTAACGATTTGCAACGATATATTATAAAATGTTGATCATATGTTACGTAATTAGGGGTCACAAGGGGCCAGAATATCAAATCTATGACGCTTCATATCTCGAAAAGGGGGGAAATTTTGATAAGTAATATTGAAGAAAAGATGGTCAGAATAATGTTTTAAACAATATGCATACTTTGAATTTTGGTAAACTGGCCCCATTAAGGACTTGTAGGGGTGGCCCCTAAATATTTATATTAAGCATATCTCCTAAACGAAAAGAAATCTCTAAACAAGTGTATAACAAAAAGTCTTTGAAATCACAAGACCTTTCGTTTGATATCAAGAAAAAGGGGCTGACTCCTCAAATTAGGGGCTCAGAGGGGCCAGAAGTCTTTCATCTTTAACTCTTTAATGATCAATATTTTGTAATAAGTATACATCATGAGAAGCAAAGATATTCATTTTAACGATATGCAACAATATGTTATAAAATTTTGATCATATGTTACGTAATAAGGGATCGCCAGGGGCCAAAATGCTATATTTTCATGCTTTACGTCTCGAAAAGGGGGAGTATTTTTATAAGCAATATTGAACAAGGGATGTTCAGAATATTGGATAAAAAAATAGAAACTTTAAATTCAATGAAGAAAAACTTAATGTCATTCTCTTTTAACGAATATCTCAGTCAAAATCACATCTCATCTTATCGAGAAATTCAACGGAAGACCTACTCGTTGCTCGCAACGAGATCTCATCTAGTTCTAATTATTGTTGTTCTTGCAGGTATGTGTTTGTTGGTTTTCTATTGTTTCTTCTGAAATGTAAGTTTTGTTAAAATGGTCTTATTTGTAAAAATAATAAATTGATACATCAACAGAACTTAACAATGCAAAGTTTCAAGGTTGCTTTGTAGCAGATATTTGGTCTTTTAAAAAAAATTGTGATGCTGCTTAAACTCACTTTGGATGATGAATAATTTAATCTATTTGTTGTTTATATGTTTGCCATTCTTATTCACAAAAGAGTAGTATTTGTACAAGTATAACAAGTTAATTTATTTTCCGAATCCAATGTCTTTACACAACACAGTGGGGTAGTAACTTCCCGATTTTGACCTAAATTTAAAACTCTTTAATTAAGTAAATCAAAATACTGTAGAAAATATCCATCTTAATTCAACAAAATATATGCATAAATACATTCATAATGTGATAATGTAATGATTTTCATATGTGCCCTTAATTTTGTAACTGTTGACTTCTACAAAATAAAAGTCTCTGAAGCTTTTCTTTCCGATTCTCATGGTAAAGATTTAATTGAGTTGAGAGCATTATTAACCACTAAACACATTTAAACATGTAACGATTTCTGCTTACCTTTCTAGATTTAATTTGTCAGTTCCTTCTATTCTTTGGTTTTTTTTCTTTGCATTAGTTTGCTTATTTACTTGTCGTCGTTCTCTTTGATTTGAGTTTGAACACGTTTTTCAAAGAAGTAAATCGTCATTTCTCAATAAAACTGTTTATAACCTAAAATAGTAAATGAATATGAATAAATAGATTTGTATAGTGACCTATATACCGAGATAATATTTATCATAAAGCCCGGAATTTGATCTCGTGACCAACCCGTATTTATATCCCGATAGATGTTTAAACATGACACCTTATTTTTTAATTACTTGTTCGAAATTACAAGGTTTTAATTCAAATACGTTGTGAATTTCACGTGACGTAGTTCTTTAGAACTGGTCTCGTATATAAGAAGTAAAAAATTGTATAAATGCCAGTTTAGAATGACATATACTGTCGTAGTTTGATTTTTTTCTATATTTATTTAATCAGTTAATCCAACATTACGATGCATGAATATAATAATTGATTTTCATATTTTATTTGTAATACATTGTACAATAAAGATTTGTGTCGTTGCTATGTCCAGATAGTGCGTTGTTATTTATTGTACTTTCATTTGAAATTAATAAATCAATTTAAAGCATAACTTTTTGGTTTATTATGTACAAAGTAAACGATTTACGGACACCTTTACTATTATAATTATATATATAACTGATCATTCTAGCTATTGCCGAGGTTTGTATTCCGGGCCTACCATTTGCCTCTGCTTTGAAGACTGGATGTTTCTCACGTAAGGGTAAGCATAATTCTTTAAAATTGATTACTTAAGATGCATGATAATTTTATTACTTAAAATCTTTTTTATAATATAGTAAGCTATAAAAATTTAACCTGTATTTTTTAACAGGGGTGACCTGTTCTCAGTGTGTTATGGACGCGGATTGTGTTGGAGCTGCTGGGAGTAATCACGTCCATGCGTGCATTAACGGCTGTCGCAGATGTTTTTGGTGGGGCATTCGGCGTACCCAGTAAAATTAATAAAATTAAAATAAAATACTGATTTTGTCATAAATGGAAAGTACCTCCAATCCTTTAAGACCAACAAGGAGAGTTTACAAATTCTGAATATTTTACGTTTTTATTTATCCTCTTTTTTTTTATATTAAATCCTTCATATGACTCTTAATTCTTGCACCGAATGGCAAAACTATAATTGTTTTCATTTCATTAACCCCTCTTTACATAAATAAAATTTTTGGATGTGTTACCCCAGTATACGGGTTTATGTTCAAAACACGATGTAGTTACGACATTAAAGATTTACTTTTTTTATACTTTGCTATAATATTTTTAAGATAAATTTTGCTTTTGAAGTTTTCCTCACCAGTATACAGATAATCACCCTTAAGATTTTGTCAATTGCCTATAATGTAAGTACAATATCTTCCACTTTGGAATATTAAATGAACATATAACAAATTGATAATATATCGTCGATATATCTAAATACGGCTACATTGGTTGTCTCAGTTTTTAAGACGTTCGTAGTCTAAAAATTGATTTTTTTAATTTTAAAGGTAATAATGTAACAATGTACTAAGTGTTTTGTAAGGTAAATAGCATGTACAAAATGTAAAATGTAACATTAATGATACTTTTGTTATGCATAGTTTAAATTAAGAGCCATTTGTTATACTAAACTCTCCCTTTTGGCTTAAGTAAAAGTTGCATGGAATGGTGAGAATTACGTGACATAATGACATTTAAGGACGATTTTATCTTGACATAATCAAACTTGCATTGATAACTGCATTCCTTGGTCTATATTCTCTATTTTGGAGGAACTGCATAATGAACCTGTTTCTGCTTCTTTGTTGTGCCTTAGTTGGTAAGTTAATGAACCATTTAATTCCTTTTCTTAATTATATCACAAAAAAACCTTTACAAAGATGCATTTTACCAAGACTTTTGTAAAAAAAAAAAATTCTTTTTCTCAGATAAATTAATGCAAGTTAAGATTTTTTATAATATGCTTTAAATAATATTAAGTAAATCAAGTTTTGATTTAAATACTATTTTTTTCTACTTATATTATTGTTCAATACATTTTTTTTTAAAGGATACGCCTGGTGCGAGACGTGCACTACCCCCGATTCCTGCACGACCACTCACTGTGATGAGTTTTCTCACGTGGTGTGCAGCCAGGGGACCTGTACATGCGAGCTTCGAGAAGGACGTTAGTATGCTGAATTATCTTTTGTCTGGTTTTTAAAACTTTGCATTACTAGTATTTTTTTTAAATCTTAATATACTTAATACGTCACTAAACACTAAAAAAGAGAAGGGAATTTGAATGCATATAATTAGCTATTTCTTTCTTATTCAATTTTTATTCGCAAGCATAAAATATTGGCGAGTTTCGCGACCATCATTTACATGCAAATATTACTCGTCGTGGACCAGTTTTTCACTTGTGTATTTATGTACATTTGTCGCGAGAATTATTAGCCGCGGATGGATTCAAAACTAAAAAATGTTTCTCCAGCTTTTAGAAACATTTCTTAAGCCCAAAGTTGAATTAGATAAACAAAGAAGACGCGTGCACTACTTTCCAATGTCATTTTGAGGACTTTTTAAACACTCTTTATTGAAAGTACGATAAATTGTTTGAGAAATAAAAAACTGATGTACAAGTGTAAATTTTATTGAGTGACTTTGTCATACTACTAGGTGTATATGAAAGTAAAAATTGAATGACTAATGTTTGTCCTCGTAAGACTTACGATGAAACATATGGAGATTTAACGAACAGTATTCAAGATCATAAGTCCATAAACGATACAAGATAGGAGCAGAGCAAACACGGACCTCCAAAACATCAGAGTTTGGATCAGGTGCCATGGAGGAGTGAGCATCCCCTGCCGATCTGTCACACCCGTCGTGTGCTCCTTGTCATAACCGGGAAATAACGGGAAAATCCGTCGTCAATTCAGTATATAAACAATGGACTAACAATTAGTATGAAAAACGTCTGTCAGCATTTGACTCAATGATAAATTGTATTTGCTGTCAAGGTCATTGTATCGACCATAGAACTTACGAAATGATGACTTTAAACGAGACTGATGATATTCTTCATTCATCAACTTGTTTGTAAATAATTTACATCGTGTTAGAAATTGTTCATACGTAGAGCATGTTCTTGCGTATCGAATCAACTGAGATATATAAACTCCGTATGCAGGTGATAAAGATATATTGCTGCGTAAGTAAGTGAAGTTGACGATAGAAAATTTTAAGTCATCACGTTTTTTATAAAGCGTGGTTATAAGATTACCATTATACGTCTTTTTCAAGTAATATAAAATATGTCGAATGTGGAGGTTGTGTTGTGTGGTCATAGTTTTGCTTTTTTACGGAAAAGATGATGTTGAACAAAACTGGGATGTGTGAAAAAAATATTGGATGTGTCTTTATTGTTTTAATTTTATGGCACCACTCCATGAACAAATTGATAATCACTGATAAGATATACGCATCTATTTAAGGAATAACTGTCTTATTTTTCGATTTCATGATGTGATCAATCGATTGGGTTGCGTGATAATTTGCATAAACGCCGAAAACGTTTATGCATATAATTATCACGCAAACCTATCGATTGATCATCGTCATGAAATTGAAAAATCTGACAGTTATTCCTTATATTTACATGCTTTGATTCCGCCAATCCACTTGCTCCAAGCCCTGCTTCTGTCTACTGTTTGTTCCGACCTGCACGTGTTTTTTTTTTTTTTTTTTTTTTGGAACCGCGCCAATACATTGAAGGAGAAATAAAGTACATTTACAATTTGTAATTTTATCTCGGACAAAGACATTGGAAATGTAAATATTTCAATCTAAGTAAAAGAAAACATTAATGCAGCATTCACCATCTTGTTTTCTGTAGGCTGTGACTCAAAAGCAGATTGTGAAGCGATGGTGAACTGGTTCTGTCCCCTTCATCGTAGACACTGTGTTGACAACAGATGCCGCTGTGTCAATTTATAGATATCTTAAAAGATATACTTAATAAGAAAAATAATTCTTTTGCTATCATTTATCATGCAATGATATATTAGTTATACCATTTTAAACTGTGCATATATTTACAAAATCAAAGTGTTTTCTTCGGTTTTTTTGTTGAGAGACTTTAACAGATTGTGTAATATTTGAGAATAGACAGTTTATATCAACAAGGTACATTCATACTCTATTCTTTCTCAGACACATCTAGTTTTCTTATAATGAATGATTTCCTTATATATTTATTAAATTTATCAATAGAAACATGTAAGGGTAAGTATCCCTGGCTAACCGGTCACCCGCCATGTACTCCTTGTCATGATCAGAAACAATAAAAATCGTAGAGAGTAAGTAGTGCCCTTACAATGAGTATGAAAAATGTCAGTTTTCATTCGGAATAATGATAGATTGTTTTTGTTGACAAGGTCATTGTATCGACCATAAAACTTGCAAAATGATTACTTTGATTGTAAATATTCTTGTTTCATCAACTTGTTTTGTCTACAAGTTTGTAAGAAATTGTTCATATATATATAGCATATACATGTATGCTCTTGCGAATTGAATCCACTGAGAGACATACACCTTATAAAGTTCAAAGGTTGCTACTTATTTGAGGGAAGTTGGCGACAGAAATGTAATCATGTTTATCATAAAGTGTTGTTGTAAGGTTGCTATGAACGTCTTTTTCTAGAAAAATATCCAAATACACAGTATGTATTATTCAGCTTTTCTCTTTTTGCATGAAATCTTGGAATAAAATTTTTTACCATTGGTAGTATAAAAATTTTGACTCATCCGAAAAAGGAAATATCATATTCCAAAATGTTTTCTTTGTTGATATGTTGGCAAATTTATAGATTTAATCTTAAAAGAAAGTTTTATTTTTAAATAAGGATAGGACAAGATTTCCTTTTTTCTGTGTTTTACTGTATTTTAAAGATTCATGTACAAACCATTCACCTTCGTCAAATGTCACAACTATACAGCAAACATAAATAAGTAGGAAAAGACAAGACTTTAACATCTAAAAGTAGATGGTTAAAGACGACTTTGAGGAAATGTTATTTTATCATTTTTTTCCGTTTTACGTATTTGCTGTCGCTTAGCACCGTAACTTTTACACGAAAATTACGTGAAAACCTGTTGAGGAAGTGATCATAAGTCTGTTTTCTCAAGAAATAATCATAGTTGTACACTCCTCCCACCTGAAGCTTGTAACTAAATGATTAAACTTATGTAACTTAGGGAGAAGTGGTATTGGCTTACCATTTTCTCAAGATTTTAATTGTAGTTTCATTTTTTGTAGACGCAGCCATTGTACTTTCACTCTTAAAGCACATCTGGCAAAGGAAATATAGATATAAATGTACATCAAACAACTTTTGGATGTAAGAGATCGTACATAGTGGTTATCTCATCTACTTTTAGACTATTTTGAAAAATTAAAATTACATATATTAAATTTCATCCCCCTCAAAGTTGAAATGAGTAAGGTTTTTCTTATTAGGATATAGTACATTTTTAATTGTCATCTGGCAATCATATGATGCAACTAACATTTGAACATACTTTAATTTTTGATAAATAATCAATAAGATTGGAAATAAGTTCTTTTAACTAATTGGTCCCACTACTTATTATAACTTGTTTGAGCAGATCTACCTTAAAGAGCATAATTATATGTACATGCAGGTCGTATAAATGCGCCTTAAGGGTATTGCATGTTTTCTAACAAAACATCTGATTTCAAGATAAAAATATATTAGTTCACTTTTTAATAACCCGTTAATTGCCCGTTAAATACATCTGCATGTTTGATTACCTTATATCGATGATCAAAAGTGGTTGCTACAGTAGGTATATGAATGAAAACTAGATTTTGTTTTCTTCAATCATTTTTTTTTAAATGAACTTTTTTCATAAATCTGTTCGCTTCCTTACATGTCCCTTTTTATCTATGTATCTCTTTTTCTAAGTCGAACAACATACGAAAATAGATAATTTTTTATGTCAACTTTTATTCAACAAGAAACAGAAACAAATCATTCCAACTGGTTTCCTTTCCAACCTGTGAAAAAGGAAAAAAAAATATATTAAAAGATCATGTTGTATTTCTTTTTTATTAAATAAATACGTTTTTTAAAAAAGTTTTTCACATTTTTTTTCTTAAAAATTTTAAAATACTATCTAATGAAAAAAAAACCTTCACAATGTTAAACTTTCAAACACGCACCTGTTAGAGTATAACGTCCCTCTCCTTCTACAGATTATATCTAACCAATGATGGGGAGAGCAGTGTTGTTGGTCAGGGTGGTCAACAGAAGAACCAGAGGAACTAGATGAAAAGATTTACACATAAGAAATAATCACGATACCATTCTGTCTTAAAATTGGTAAAAAGACTTTAAAAACATTTTTTTTAGTTTATTTATTCACTTTCTTTCATCTTCAGGCGTAAATCATAACTCTTAATATAATTGATATGAAATAAATATCCAGTACTAAAACTTACTGTAGTTGACGAAGGTTGAGAAGGTGGATTGTTTAGCGAGTTTGTTCAGCTGGTTTCTCTGTTGGCGGGTCTGGAACCATTCCTGGAGGTATCTTTGTTGGTAGGCCTGTCTGGCAGCGGTGTTTCCGACTCCCCCGACAACTGAGGTCTGGGCTGCAGGGTAGTAGTACATACCCTCAACAGCAACGACGGCCAGAGCGATCACGCATGGCAGGATCATCAAGATGACGGACTTGTTCATGTTGCTGTTTGGTGCGAGCTGATAGCGAATCCCACAGTGTAGAAAGGAGATTACTAGCGTACATGTTGTCGGGGATATATATACCCAATGGATCAGCCACTTACGTGAAGTGCGATTGCACAAATTACGTCATATGTTCACGGGTGTTATAATTCTGTCTGGATTTCTTCGTTAAAGGAAGTTAATAACACAGGTATCCACAATCCCTAACATTGCAGATTTACTTCAGATTTTACAAATTGAAAATGTATCAAAGAGATATATAGATAACTGAGTTTCAGTTATCATCAAACTTGTTTTATACAGTGAACCCTGAGTTTAATCATATAGCGTGATGTAAAAGATATATCCCTTATGTACAATAACTATATAAGAAAATCTCAGAAAGGTTATATATATTTAAGGCTAGCCATTGTGAATATGTTTCAAAGCTTTTTTAAAGTTTTTTTTACGTAATAACACCAAATATAAAATTTACGCGTACAACAATGAACTGTGCATATGAAAATAAAAATCATGTACTAATATGGAAATGCTTAATGGCTTTCATAATTAGTGATATGAATTACTATATTTATCTCTTACATTTCAAAGCCGCAAGGCAAAAATAAAATTGCCAATTTACTAGTATTGCAATTTAACAAACGACAAGAAAAGATAAACATCAAAATATAATCATACATATATTACAAATATTTTCATGGTATTGGTGATGATTTTATGTTTATCTTAAAATCTCGAATTATGAATTAAATTCTCTTTATGTATAAATTTAAAAAAGTAATATCCAAAGTTCAATATTGAATTATTTTTTGTTTCCTTAAATCTTTTGTTTCGATTATCTAAGTAACAAATAATAAAAGGGAAACATATGAACGATATCAAAGAACACTCTCTGATCTTTTAGTCTTATAATCTTTTGAATTTAGTTTAAATAAAATTTTCTTGGTTTGGAGATTTTAATTTTTTTATGTCTTTTTCATTAAATGGTCGTAGCATTTACTGTCCAATGTGTTTTAGTGCGTTGAAAAAAAAATGAACCTTATAAAAGATTTTAAATAAAATACTTTATATATCAAATACATTATATCAAGAATATTTCTTTTTAGGGTTTCAATATTTATGTGAGGTTATATACTGGTAATATTTATTTTAAAAAATATTATGCTACAACAATGTCAAGGAGAGGTGTAAATCAAATTAGGATTAATTTCTCTACGCTTTATAAAAGGATTCTTCAAAATACAAAAGACTTGGTTTTACCTCCCTAAAAAGTATTCATTAAATTTTTATATACCTATATATCGTACATGTATTGTGTTAAGTGATCTACAATATTATTTTGTTTAAAATCATTTTGATTCTAAATACAAGTACTCTTAAGTTGATATTAAAATATATATATATATATATATATATATATATATATATATATATATATATATATATATATATATATATATATATATATATATATAATCATAACAAATCTCTAATTTTGCAGATAACAACACTTTGTTAAAGCAATATTTAAAAAAAAAAATAGTTTAATTTTTGTCGTCTTGATTTAATCAAAATTCTAGTACTATATGAATATTTTGACTAAAATGTTTATTAATCATTGAACAAATCTCTAATTTTGCAAAATTTTGATAACATCACTTTGTTAAAGCTTATTTGAAAAAAATTGTATATGTAACATTTTAAATCAAACATATGTTTGTTTATCAAAATAATTTCAAAAGTCATATTGATCAAAAATTTGGACTAAGTCTTCATTCTACAATGTATATGAATATTGTTTGAATTCCAATGGCCATTATAATTGTACTTCTTTATTAGTTAATTTGTTTTTATATTTCTATGGTATACTATGGAGCAGAAAATTATATAAAAATTTTGACAGGAGGAGGAATTTTTGTCAAAATTTTTGAAATTTTTATATATCTTTGCAGGTCTGTTTAACTTATTTGATTGTTAATTGACAATTGTATATGTAACATTTTAATACGAACATATGACGAAAATTTTGTTTGTTTATCAAAATAATTTCAAAAGTCACACAGTTTTTTCTTTTGGTTAAAAATTTTGACATATACCAGTCATCCATAAAAACTGCTTACATATATACATCACCCTATTCAGTTACGGCGCGGATATGCATACATATATCTTTTTATCATTCCATGTTAGGCCATAAATATTGTGCATTCAATTCTTATTAGTTTTCTTGTGTTTCTGCTATCATTTCTATTCCAGTGCAACATCGTAT